ACGCTCCGATACATTTATTATCCCTTTAGTGCAAAAGTGGCAGAGAAAGACGAGGGGTAATTGAAAAAGAGCGCACAAATCTCCCTGAGAAAGCCGGCTCCTTATCGCCGAATAAACATTTCAGTCCTAATAAACAGGAGAGACACGCGTCAGGGCCCCGTCGATTCCCATCCTGATTTAGGACCTGCCTCCCTTCTTACCATACAATAGGAGAGTGTTTTAAAAAATGTTTTTATTGAGCCAGTAAAAGCTTTCCAGGAGGGAGGTGGGAGAGAGGAGGGGGCCTGGCAGACACCAGGCCAAAGGGTCCGTTGGGGAGGTTGGTGGCTGCCCAAGCCCATCAAGCCTCTCTGAAGCAGACACAGGCCCTCTCCCTGGGGGGCCTCCATCCTGCTCTACCTGCAGAACTCCTATTCAGACTTCAGGACCCAAGTCAAATGCTCCCTCTGCTGGGAAGCCTCCTACCAAACAGGGTCTCCCTGAAGGCAGAGCCAAGTCCTGAGTCCCAGCATTTGGCATAGCTCCCCCAACTCAAGAGTGTGCCCCAGGAAGGAATGGGGAGTTCGAGGACTTGCCCGGGACTCACCGAGTTACCAGCACCATCTAGTTTGGCTTCAGGGCCTGGCGGGTGAGTCCGGCCCAGAGTGAGGCAGGCACCCTCTTTTTTTTTTTTTAATCAGAACTCTTCAGCCACAGGTTAAGTCCCTTTAGCCTAGTAACCCCTGGGGGCTCTCACTGTATTGGGGGTGCCTGGGAGACTCCCTTCCCTGCTCCCCAGATTCCAGCCCTCTCCTGCTCCAAATCAACACACATCTGCCATAAAAACAGTGGGCTTAGGCCCCAAAGCCCTGCAGGCCAGCCCAAGCCCCGGCTTCTGAGCCCCAGCTGTGCCAGCCCCTCCTGGCAGAACTCCATGCCACCACACACTCCAGGAAGTTGGGCAGGGTATTGGCTGGGGTGTTGGTTGGGGTGTTAGCTGGCATGTTGACTGGGGTGTTTGTTGGTTGGGGTATTGGCCAGGGTGTT